TATAATCCCCTCAGTAGTCTGTAATTATGCATTAACCACCCCTCCCCATAACTAACACCATATTAGAAGCTAGCAAATGTCTGCAAATCTGATAGGTGAAAAACATTCTCTGTGATTTGTTCTTTAATGATGAGTGAAACTGAATATCATTTTGTATGTACATTGGCATTTTCGTTCTTTTTCTGTAGAGTGTATATTTGATCTGCTCATTCTTACTCCCTACCCCCAAATTTGGTCGTTTTCTTAAAGATTTGTAAGATATTTTTGCTGATCAAGGAAATTAACTTTGCCCTATATTTTCAAATATTTCTTTCAGTTAGTCATTTCTTTTTTGAAAGGTTTTATAGTTTTTGCTAAAAGTGGCCCTATCATCTGAGAAAATACCCAGACAAACCGTAAAGTTCACCTCTAAGCTTCTACTCTGTGAGGGGAAAGAGAACGTAAGTGGGGTGATAAGTGTGGCCCATGAGTAGCAGCTTGGACATCACTCACCTTCTAAAGCTTCTCACCCCTTGCTTTATCTGAAGGCCTCTACTGCATGGATGACAGCCTCAGTTTTTGCCCTTTGTAATTGAAATTGAAGATGCTGCTCCATTCCTTCCTTTCCCTCATTGTCTTGTGGGGAAGAGGCTTCAGATGCCCATTCTGACTGGATCTTATAGAATGCCATAGTTCTTCCTTTAAAAAATTTTTTGTTTAATTTTCTGATGGCAGAAATGGTTTTTTTTTTTTTTTTTTTTTGTCTTTTTCGTGACCGGTAAGGGGATCGCAACCCTTGGTGTGGTGTCGCCTGCACCACGCTCAGCCAGTGAGTGCACCGGCCATCCCTATATAGGATCCGAACCCGCAGCGGGAGCGTCGCTGCGCTCCCAGCGCAGCACTCTTCCGAGTGCGCCACGGGGTCGGCCCGAAATGTTTTTAATTAATTAAACCTTCCTGTTAAATTAATCAGAGCTTCCTGTTTCCTTTGTCCTTAAATGTTTCAGGGTTAAAACATTGGACTTGACTCTCCTCCTCTAGATTAAAAGGAGAAAAGAAAGCAGTATTTGGGGTTGTATGAAAAGTCTTATATTTTCTTTTGATGATAAGAAAGGAGGAGATTTGCCACATAGCTTACACATTGAGTTCTATGACTTTTAAACATTTCTCTTTCTAACTGGTCACTGGTTTCTCATTTCATTCATGTCCAATGCATGGGAGACAGGTCAACAAGTAACAATCCCAAGGTATGACTTGAGGAGGGCTGTGACGGAAAACATGAGGTGCTGTGAGAGCACTCTGGAGGGCACCAAACTTGCTGAAGTTGGCCAATGAAAGCTAAGACAAGGATGTGGTATCTCATCTGAAGGATGGATAGGAGTTAGAGGAAGGGGGAAAGAGTATTCCAGGTAGGTGAGAGAGAGCTTGGCATGTCTGAAGAACCAAAATGCATGTTGATGGATCATAACATGAAAGATGGCAGAGTAACCATAGTCATTAAATAGTGGCCTGGCTCTCCCAGGGAGAGTATGTAGAATAAGAAGAGAAGGAAGCCTCTGGCAGGAGAGTCCTGAAGAGATCATATGGATCCTTCAGTTTAGAGCATTTTTTCCCCTGGAAGCTTAGTGGAATGATGTTTCTCTTGTGTGGTTAGGTTGAGTAGTGTTTCTAGGCTTACCTGGAAACCTTTGTCACAACATTTAAGGACTGCTCTTCAAGGGGCTGGCCAGTTAGCTCAGTTGGTTAGAGCGCAGTATTGTAACACCAAGATGAAGGGTTTGGATCCCTGTACTGATCAGCCGTCAGAAACAAAACAAAAACCAAAATAAATGGGGGAAAAAAAGAGTTTTTAGTTGCCACCAGCAATGCCAGGGACTATTTCATCTCTCCTTGGCTGTTGCATGTTTCATCCCTTTCAAAGTGGCATGGGTTGGAGTGGAGTGAAGGAGGGTTTTTTTTGTCTTTTTCCATGTCTGGCAACGGATCGCAACCCTCAGTGTCGCCACTGGACCGGGACCGGCAACGGGACCGCAACCCTCGGTGTTGCTCCCGTGCCTCGCTCAGCCAGTGAGCGGGAACCGGTCTGTATGTGGGATCCGAACCCTCGGGTGGGAGCACCACCGCGCTTCCCAAGCGGTGCACTATCCAGTGCGCCGCCGGGCCGGCCCGGAGTGAAGGAGTTTTAATGTAACCGCCTCTCTGTAATTTTTACTAACTACTCTAACCACTGTTATGTCACTAGGAGCTCCTATCAGAGTGTCGCTGAATTAGGTGTTGCTCTTAGATTATTTTAGAATTACTTTATTTATATATTATATTATTTATATATTATTTTAGAATTATTTTGCTCTTAGAATTATTTTATCTTAGGTTATAAACCCTCTGAGAGAAGGATTATGGTTAGTCCTGCCATCTGTTGGAGTAGTCCAGTGGATGCAGAGTAGGTGCTCAGTAAGGAGTTTGTCTAAATAAATAGTAGTCCACACAGGAGGAAGGTGGAGTAGCTTTTTCATGCTTCTGTTAAAGATGGGTTTTGAAAGCTCCTTCACTATCTCAGTCAGAAGTGTGTCACTAGAGGCTGTCTCAGCAAATAACCTTTGCTTCTCCTCAACTAAGCTGATATTTACTTGCTGAAGAGAAGCTATGTATTGAAGGCTCAAACATGTCTTTTTCTTAGAAAGCCCTTTTGCCACTGCCAAGTAGGGATGCACATATCAAAATTGAGTGAACCTGGGTGGTCTCTCTACTCAGTGGAATGGATCTCTCAATTTGTGGGAGCTGGGGATCACTTATTTTAAAGTTTCTTCATTACTTACGGTAATAGTTATATGCTACAGAGTTGCTTTGATTAACTTAATTTTTGCCCAGTTAAAACTAGAAGTAAAATCATAACTTTAATTTCAAAAGAAGTAAAATCTTTTTTTACAGATAAGCAGGCTTTGTGCTTTCATCAAACTTAGCGAAATGATTAAAACCCTAAACTTGCTAATTGGACTTTTTTCTTAAGGGACACTTAGATTTAAAAGGCAGGATGTCTAGTATAACCTAAACTATTTAGTAATTAACTGCTCCTTAACTGCCCCCTCCTAATTAATGAGGCATAAACCTCTGTGTCCTGCAGTAAAAGAAAGACAAATTGATTTTAGGGTAGTTTGACAAAGAATTAAAAATTCATGGTGTGGGTTGCATTGCATGTTAAAATGAATTTTGCTGTATTACTGTAATTCCCTTAAAAGTTGAGTTCAAGGATTTAGCTTTACCTAACTTTCACAGTAAATCTTTCTACCCAAATTGAGGAAATTCCTGGGCATTCCAGGTTGCAGGGGACTGGGCTCTCCTAAGGTCATTGAGCCCAACCTTTGGAACAAATAATCTTTTAGAAACACACAAACACACACACACACACACACACGCGCTAGGAACAATGACAAAACTGGGTTTTTGTAGAGAAATTTTCTTGAAGTCAGTTATTGTCTAAAGAATATGCTGAGACTTCCCAGATTAAAGCATTAATTATGAGGTCAGTTTGATTTTTGATGCGATTTTAGCTACCTTTATCTTAGATCCTGTTATTTTGATCTTTGAGATTGTCAGTAACTAATAATACTTCTCAGGTTGAGTTTTCGTCTGACCGGCCCTGAATAAATCAGTTTATTCCTGCAGATAGAAATCCTCCTACCTGAATCCATTTTTGTTGAGACTCTTTTTTCCCCCCATTAATATTAGCGAACTACTCACTTTTATTGGCCGTCAGGAGTGTTGGGGGGAAAGAGTAAGGAATGAGACCCTGACTAAGTTTGATAGTGACCATATCAATGTATCACTTATATTTCAACTCTTAATTTTCACGAGTCCCCTCTTCTTTCTGTCCTCTACTAAATAAACTACATCCCTCAATATTCCTTCTCTTTTCTCCTCTAAAAGTCTGTAGAGATGGGGGCAGAGAGATAAGTGGCATTGCCTCACTTAATAGATAGGGGATAAGAGATAAAGTGAGTGACAAATGTACATAAAAGGCACTTAGTACCTACATAACCAGATCTCCCCATCCCCAACCATTCATCTGCTATGCTGGTTTATGTACTGACAGCGTTCCCAAACTGTAATGTCTCTAGGGCACCCAAAGGGAACATTGGGTTAAATTCTTTTGTCCATTTTTGTCCATTTGTATCTCTCCTATGATTACTAACGTGTTTTTCAGAAAGGCCTACACTTGTTTTGTGGAAACAAACTTATAATACACTTCGAGTTTAACCTAGCTGCTGTCTTACTAGGAATTTCCAGGGACACAGCTAGCTCTCCCTGGGATAACCACCTTTGTCTCTTTTTGTTTCACCTACAATCTATTTGCCTGTTGCCCAGGCAAATCTCAACTCAACCTCCTGGTCTCTGAAGAAATCCTGTTATATGTATATATTTCTCCAAGAGTGGCTTTCTTTTCTGTTCAGTACAACTACTTTAAGCTTAGCCTAGAATTTTAAAAAAGATAGGTGAAGTAATCTTACAAAGCATTCTGATTTGAGTTGCATAATATTCATCACCAATCATGGTGTATCTTAGTTTTAAAATTCCTGGTTTCACATTGTTTCAGTGCCAGGTGCCTTCTTTCACGTCTTGACATTGGTCAAATCTCAGAGTTCATCAGGATCAGGTGTAAACTGTTCCTGCTTGCACTTCAAGGAGATCTGGTTCATTAATGAAATTAGTGTATGCCAAACCTTGAGTTAAAATGTAAATTTAATTTTTAAAGCCAAACTTTAAGTGGAAGTCTTTGTTTCTTGGCTTCACTTATTTTGGCAAAACTCCCTCAATTCCAATCATCTGATAATGTGGAGCCTAAGAATTACAAGTTTAGGTTTTTATAAATAAAATCACGTAGTTGTCCACCTGCCCCATTTTACAACTTTAGGCTAAAAAAGTTGTACTGCTTTTTTCAGTGTTGACTTGAGCATAAATAACTATTTGTTATCATTAAGGTTATTTGGCAATTACTAAAATGTGCATCTTTTTCTTTTATCCAGGCCGGACGTAAAGAAAGAAGTGATGCACTGAATTCTGCAATAGATAAAATGACTAAGAAGACCAGGGACTTGCGTAGACAGGTAAGCTGGAAGAAAGTGCTGATTGCTTTACTAAGTTGTCAATTTTGTAGTTTTGATTAAAATCCTAATGAATACCAGGCTCATATTTTTTGTTGGGCAAAGGATGGATTTTCATAGGAAAGTGGCTATGTCTGTCTCTGTTGCTAATAAGCTTCTTAATGGCTAATAAACTCTCATGGGGACAGAGAATGAAACAGTCCCTCCAGGATGGACTGAATAAAGTAGCTCTAGTGTGAAAAGGATGTATAGATAGGAAAATAAATTTAAAATGACTTGGAGACCTGTGAAAATAAACATGAAGGTTCTCATTATATTGGCTTATGTACACTAGAGATGGAAATTCCAGTTATTTATTGGACTTGCCCAATTCTGATTATATATTTTTAGTTCCCTTCAATCCTTGGTGGAGGTGTGTTTCCAGTTCAAATATAGCAGGCATAGAGAGATATTTGGGGTGTTAAATTTTTCAAGTTCACGAATACAGAATAAAGAACCTCTTCATTTGGGCTGATTGGTTAGTTCAATTGATTAGAGCATGGTGCTGATAACACCAAGGTCCAGGGTTTGATTCCTGTAGTGGCCAGCCACCAAAATAATTAATTAATTAATTTTTTACAAAAATAAAAAAAACCTCTTCATTTAATGATAAATAACCCCATTAACATTTTGGAATCAAGTTGAGTTTCAATCTTTAAAGAAGTTAGGGTTGATGGTTAGAGTGCAGCTTTGTAACACAAAAGTCAAGGGTTCAGATCCCTATACTGGCCAGCTGTCAAAATAAAGAAGTTAAGGTTGAATTTATAAACCAATGTAGTAAGACTAAAAGAAGTTATAATAATAATTCTAACAATTCCAAGAGTTAGTAGAGAGACATTTTATTGCTCGTGTCTGATATAAAGCAAAATTGAAGATAGAATGTGTCTTTATTCAATTTCCTTTTGGTGAAGCAGTATCAGAAATGATTACAGGGCTGGCTGGTTAACTCAGTTGGATAGAGTGTGGTGTTATAACACCAAGGTGTCAGGGGCTTGGATCCCAGTACTGGCCAGTCACCAAAAAAAAAAAAAAAAAAAAGGTTATAATGATAACCTTTAAGTTTTAAGATTTATAGTGTGCTAACCCTTTTAAATAAACCAGAAAGTGCTCTTTTTTCCCTCTCTTCTCATTTTATTTAGCTAATTAGGCTAATTACATAGATTCCAAGGCTATGTGCCAGTTCAACCCAGAGCTGCTTTTTGTTCAGCTTTTTATTATTCCTTTAAGATGTAAGCCTTAGTTTTGTAATTCCCTAGAAAAAAGGATATTGTCTTGAAAACCAAGATTCTGATGAATTGCAGTAATTGTTTCCATGATCATATGTTTTCTGTGTTGCAGATCGTATAACTGCATGGCTTACATAAGAGGTCCTCATATAAGTGCAGCCAGTCTATCATAAGCCTCCATTAGATTTAAAAGCACAAGGGAAAAAGTGATCTAGCTTCTTGGTAGAAATAAAATCAAATTTTTACAATTTAATTATTAGCTCCGCAAAGCCGTCATGGACCACGTATCAGATTCTTTCCTGGAAACCAATGTTCCACTTTTAGTATTGATTGAAGCTGCAAAGAATGGAAATGAGAAAGAAGTTAAGGAGTATGCCCAAGTTTTCCGTGAACATGCCAACAAATTAATTGAGGTAAGTGTATTAGCAGTTTTACTAGCTGTAGGTAACTTGATGAAGTGTGGTGAGTTTTGATCACATTATTTCATCAGCTAAAATTTTTAAGGGCCCATCTAATATGCAACATGTATAAAATGAAAGTCTTACATTATCACTTAACATGTATCCACAACTACCATTTTTGTCAGTTTACATTAATTATGTATGTGATTAAATATACATAGTCCCTATCTTGGAAACTTAACATCTCCACTCAATGTTAATGCAAATAAAAATAAAACATGACACAAGTAGACTCAAAGTATAGAAAGCAACAGTGGGGAAGGGCTGGAACTCAGGGGTCACTGGCTAGGCTTTCCTTCTGGCAAGTTATCTAACCTCTCTCAGTTCCCATGTCTTATCTGGTAAATCGAGGATACTAATGATTCTATTTTGGGATTATTTTGAGCACTAAATGATGATGTATGTCAAGTTTTTGGCCTTATGCCCAAGACATAGACTCAAACCAATCTTTTTGTTTTAAAAAAGTGAAGAAACTGATCTCTGACAGACTTCAAAACTGATATGTTTGCATAGTAGAAACCTGAATGTAAGTGGTTGGTATGTAGGGTGGCAAGAAGAAAGAGTGAGTTGCCATTTAATTTCCAGGTAAGTTAGACTTGCACCTACCTTTTGTTAACTGAAATTATGTTGTTGTTTAATTATTCATTATTTCTGTATTTTAGAAATGTGACACGCAGTAAGCATATACCCAAATTATTTGATTTTGTAACCTTAATGCAGAACATCTAATATTTGGAAAAGATATTCCATAGGCCATTTTGTAAGTTGGTCATTCTGTAAGAACAGAAAATGGGCCTTTATGTAAAATGTCTGTTTTGTACGTTTGGATTTATAGTGACATTAGGCCAGGTTAATACCACAAAAATATTCCAAGGAAAACATCAGTAATCATATTAAATGCATTACTAATTTTACATCTAGTTTTCTTTAAACATTAAGTGTTACTCTGACCTGAATTAATTATGTACAGAATACATAGGTCAGTCTGCTATTCAAGTTAATGAATCCGGAATTTGGAACTAAAATTGGAAGACTTTCATTTTATGTTTCCATTAAGTATAATCTTGTTCACAACAGTCACATGACAGCATGAAATGTATACTCCAGATGTACAAAGATTGTGTTCAGGAAGCTGATCTCCTATAAGTAGCATATGTATTAGAAAGTTTGACTGCATGGCAGGAAGCAAAGATGCTGCCAACCCAAGGCGTTGGGTACCAGCATGGTGAAGGGCTCAGTGTGGCAGCTGAGCAGAGGACAGCCCTTGTTTGTACTGTAGCTGGTGGGCCCTTTATTAGGGCCAGCTGCACCATCAGCCTCTCCAGCCTAACAGAGCTGACATTTGCTGGGCACCTACTGTGTACCAGCTACGTTCAGATACAATGTACTTTCCACAACAGCATGTGTCAGGTAAGGAAACTTGAGCTTAGAGAGGTTAAGTAACTTGCCTGAGTTCATCAGGTTTGTATCCCTCCAACAATGAGGGCTGCACACTCCAGCTCACTGGCTTAGTGGGCAGCCTAACACCCACTGAGAAGCATTGCATGGACTTGGTGGACTTGGAGACCTTGCTCCAGGAGCTTTTTCCAAGCTTATGCATCTTATTTNCCCCCCATATTATCTATGTATTAAATGACACATGGCTCTTCATTGCTTGAGGTATAACCATAGGCTTTGTTGTGCCATTCTGCAAACAGTTAATTACATTTATTGTAATGGAGATATGAAGGTATATAATTGCATATGTCCATGAAAAGGAAATGAGTTTTTGAAGTGTTGTAGAAGCCTCAAATTCCTGACTCAAGGCAGAACTTTATTCTTCAGTGACAAGGTTTCTCCTCCTGCGCTACGTTTGTATTATAATGAAACACTTTGAACTAGTCAGAGACTTGTTTCAAGGAAAGACAAAATACTTCATCATGAGTGTTTTGTTAATCTCTTGACTTCTTCACTTTTTTTTCATTAGTTCTCTCCAAACTAGAGTAAATTTCCACAGATCAAGTTTGGTTTTGGGGGCCATTTGTCATTTTTCCTGGCAGTGTAGGGGAAGTAAGAGTGCTATATAAAAGCTGGCAGGGCTGGTAGTGATAAGCCTCTGGCAGGAAAGGAGAGCTTCAGATTTTACAGCCAGTGAGAATTCTGCCAGATGTGTTTGGGAGGCATGGTCCTCCTAAAATACTGCAATACAGTTCTGACGCTAACCACCCGGAATTGGTGCAGATCCCATAGGTTAAGGGTATGGTCCCCAATAAGATTGCTCTCACTTCAGATGCTAGCTGCAAGTTCAGGTGTCCCCAGGCCACCTGCATTTCTGACCAACTGGCTACAAATCTGGTGGGGGGGATCCCCATGACCTCCCTTAGGATCGATAATTTGCTAGAACAAGTCGTGGAACATTTTACTATAAAGGATATAAACTAGGGTCAGCGAAATGAGACACATAAGGTAGAGTCTGGGAAGGTCTCACATGCAGAGCTTCTCCCATAAGCCACTCCCAGTGGAATCAGGATGCATCATCCTCCTGTCACATTGATGTGTTCACCAACCAGGAAGCTCCAGAGAGTTTCTGTGTCCACAGTTTTTATTGGAGTTTCATTATATAGGCATGATTGATTGAATAATGATTAGGTGAACTCAGTGTACAGTCCCCTTCCCTTCCCAAAGGCCTTAGTCTTTCTTGGACTCTTTCAGTATGGGGCAACTCTCTGCAGAGGCAGCACATTCCACAGGTGGATTCTCTGGCTATTAGAAGAGGAGAGCCACAGTCTCCCTCTCTGGAACCTCCCCTGTTCATGCTCTTGCTGTAATACAAATTGAGAGATACTTTAAGTATAAAATACACACCAATATATTTCTTTT